CAGGAGGCAGCTGGTCAATGTTTCTCTCTCATGGATGTTTCTAACTCTCTATCCCTCTCCCTTCCTCTCTGTAAAAAATCAATATATTTAAAAAAACACATTATTTCTGCCACCTTCTCTGGTCAGAGAAATCACAAGACCAGCCCAGATTCTAGGGAACTGAGAATGGCCACACCTTTTATTGGGAACTTCATGGAGAAGAGTGGGTGTGGACACACAGCGGTGTGACTCATTGGGGATCATTGTCATTATCATTTACCAGGGAGATTGTGAAAAGGGAGTTTATGCTTAAATTGCAAGGAAGCAGCTCTCGTTACCTCGGCACCGGCCGTGGGCTGCAGGCCCCTGAGAAAGGGCTGCCCTGGGCCTGCGATTCGAAGCGTCACCTCTGCAGGCCCTGGGCGCAGGCTGGTCTGTGCAGGGCAGGGCGCTACGGAGCTCGGACCCAGACCGTCAGCAGCAGAAACACAGGAGATGTCAGATGTTGGAAGACGCACATCACATCACCCGATCAGACACAGAACTGCGTCCAGGCCGCTGTTGGAACGCACGCGCCTCTGCCCTGCTTCAAGGTTAAGTATCAACGTGTAGCACAAAGGTATTTTCTTGAATTTTTAATTCACTTCCAGAAATAGGCGCATATATCGGCCTATCGGAGGAACCCTATCTGACTACGGGTCATGGTCCAAGTCTGAAAGCCGCTGACTGCGGACGTGCTGGGGTGGGCGGAGTGCCCACTGGATAGCCATGAAGAAGAATGTGTTAACATCAGTATCCAGTCAGAGCTGCACGATAGTAGGAGAAGGAGAATGGTAATGCTGCGACTCGGGCAGTTTCCTTCCGTTCTAAGAGGTCTGAAACAAAGGGAACCTTGAACAATATGATTTCCTTTGAATGGCTCAGCGCCCGCGTTGGAATCCTTAGACGGAACCAAACAGGGCGGGTCCGGAGCGGGAAAGACTTGGGACAGAGAGCAGCGGGCCTTCCAGCTGGCTCCAGCAACAGCCCTGACCTCACCCCCTGCCACTGGATCCCGTCATTATTTGTTTACTGTCCGTCTGTGCCACGGGAACGTATGCTCCCTGAGAGCAGGCCTCTCCCTGGCTCACTGCCGAGTCCCCGTGGCTCCCTCCGTGCCCTGCACATAGTAGGTGCTCACTAACCTTTTGTGGGACAAACGGGGAAGCGGAGGGACGGGTGGGGAGGAGTAGGAAGAGGAACCTCATCCTGACAGCGTGTCTTCCAGTCCCGGCTTTTCACGGGGTGTACTTGGAACGCTGTCTCCATCTGTGCTTATATTTCTTCAAACCGGTTCAGAACCCAATTATGATCTTTTTTTTTCCAAGTACTGGTTTTTCTTTTCTTTCTTTTTTTTTTAAAGGTTTTTATAAACATTGATTTTTAGAGAGTGAGGAAGGGAGAGGGAGAGAAACATTGATGTGGGAGTGATACATGGATCGGCTGCCTCCTACACACCCCTTACTGGGGATGGAGCCCGCAACCCGGGCGTGTGCCCTGACTGGGAATCAAATTGGCACCCAACCACCTGAGCCACACTAGCCAGGGCCCAAAGACTGTTTTCTGGGGTATGTTCGGATTGCTGCTCCGCCGGTCAGAGGAGTGTTACTGGAACCCATCAGCACGGAGCCAGACAGCACGGAGCGAAGAGAACCAACCACCCTAACTCTGGCTGGCAGCCTTGAGGACACATTATCTCTCAAAAGGAGGTCTGCAGGTGTGTGGGCTGGGCAGCCTATTAGCAGGACCAGAGATAACTGATAGTAGCAGATAAGGATTGTTCATTTTATCGAAAAACAGAAACAATTCATTGAGCAAGGAGACCTCAGAATGTTGTCAATGGAGGATGAGGAAGGATTAAGCAAAGACAGACACACAAAGGGTATGGCTACTTTTTTTTTTTTTTACTTTGAACATTAGCATTAGGTTGGTTACCATACACATCCAAAGGCCCAGCATCTCGGAAGTATGAAGTGGCACAGCTTGTACCAGAGTCTCACAAGAATAAAATAGACAATGCTACATCAAGTGGTTAAAATACACAAAAAGTAGTTTTAACAGTCTATAAATTTTATATACTTAAAATCATGATTGAGTTGAAATAAAAAAGTGCATTTCAATTGCTAAAAAAAAATAATATTGGTATAGTTAACACAAGGCGGCGGGGGGAGGGGGATCAGTACATTGAGGCATCTGACAGGATGCTGGGAAAAGATGGCTCCGGGAAGCTAGGCTAGTTTGGAGACTCAGGAGGAGAGCTCCGACCACCTCCCTGCGGCCCCCTGGGGCCCACCAGCTCTCCTCTCCCCCGTGTCTGTCCCATCTTCAGAGATCCCGTCCTACCTACTGTCACATCCCCAACCGAAACTCTT